ACAGATTTGGAAATAAAACCAAGCAAATGTGGCTCTAGAGACTAAATAAATCAGAAAGGGAAATGTGCTTTATTATAAATTTAAAAGCCAACCAGCCAAAGTCCTGTGATTATGATGTAGAATGTCTTTCAGTTTTGCATTTCATAAACAAATGTTTTATTTTTGAGCAATAGAATCCATGGACTTCCCTTTTTTTTTTCCTTTAGAAAATTTGGGGAATTGAATAGCAATTTTTCATATTTGTTCTAAATTTTAACCCCTGTGGCTGCCACAGGATGTGCCCATGCATAGCTAGCTGACTCTGCCTGTGGTTTGCACCAAGGGGAAACTGCTTTGTCAAGTTGACACCTCATTCATTAACAGTGGGGGAAGAGACGCTTTTAAGGAAACACAGGTAGCTCAGAGGGACTGGAGTCTTGGTCATCAGGAAGTCTGAAGGAGGCAAGCTGCGGGCCAAAGAAGGCAGTGGGCATCAGGAGTCAGGTCACAGAGAAGCTTCCAGTTCATGCTGGACACAAGGCAAAGTATTTGAAAAATGTTAACAGAAGGAGACAGAGACTGATTTGCACTTTGGCAAAAATCACATTGGATGCTGTGGGATCGAATAAACAAAGAGGAGAAAGTGAAAAGAAAAACCAGTTGCTTAGACAGGAACATGGTCATAGTGAGAAAGGGAGGGCCTAACCTCAGACTGCAGCAGTGTGGGGATGGTGACAGGTGGATGCACCTAATTTCAAATACAGACTGATGGACCTCTTCTGAGAAGAACTATTCCAAATCTTTTTAGCCCTCAGGTTACTAAGATAAATAAATATATATAAAACCTTTATTATTTTCTGTATCGCTGGATAATACATTCAGGTGGTGCTGGGTGATGATTGTATCTGAACCTAGGTATATCCCTTGGTCTTCCACAATCCTGTTGAGGTGGGCTGCTTGGTGTGGTAAAGAGCCAGGTGTCACTTCACCCCAGCCTTTGCATCAAGCTCTCAATAGAGGATATACTCTTTACATTTAACCCCAGTATAGATAATGGACATTCTCCACCTCCAGATTCCCCCTTTTTATTAACACCAGAGATAATAAATAATGCCACCACCCTAGCTTAGATAGGGCACATTATGAACCGTATGAGCCTCAAGGTTTATTAGGTGCAGAGAGCACAGGCATGACATAGAATCATGCACTTAGACAGCAAACCATAATCTGCTAGGATGACAGGTTTTGGATGTGGGGACTCGTCAGCAAGCATTGTACTCTCATCTCTATGAGCCCCTTGGAGTGTTTGTGGTTTATTGGGGGAGGGTGGGTTGTTTTTTTTGGGGGGGGCTGTTTGTTTAAATCAAACCTGAGGCTGGTGATGAGTAGCTACACACCCACAGTATGTATTCTGTGAGTGCTAGTTCTCTTAAATTTGGATATTGGTTATTTTTTATAGTGTAAACCAAGTTTTATATTCTATAATGCAAACAGGTACCTATCTGTTTCTAAATAAAACCGTTTACATTCATTGTGGAAAAAAAAAAAAGATTGAGATTGAGCAGATGTAGGAGATGCAGGGAGTACGGGTGGGGAGTACGGGTGGGGAGGTCAAGGGCAACTCCCAGTTTTCTGGCTTGGAAACTCAACAGGAAAGGATGCTTTCTACTGGGTAGAAAACACAGGAGACAAGGGAAAGAACAAAATCTAATACCAAGATATGTGCCCCGAGGTACTTCTCACACACATAAAGTGGAGAAAATGACAAGGACTCAAGACAGGAAATAAAGGACTGACTCCTCAAAGAAGGGCTTCATGATAGGATGTTGACTATTGAACACCTGAGCAATCTTGGGTGTTCCCCCAAAGAGCCAGACCTGACACCGTGGCCTTTCTCAGCCTTCCCTTCCCATTAGTATTTCAACTCTGTAATGACAGGACTGGACATATATTGTTAGTTGATAGTCAAATCTGTGATTTATTCTTTTACCAAATATTTATCAAGCTGTACTGTGTTCTGGGCATTATGGTTATGTTTGGAGATACATTGGTAATAATTCAGTCAGGGAAATATCAAACTGGTCATTTCCATCTGTGTAACTGCAGGCAAATCATTTTAAACCTGGGAACATCAATTTGTCACCAAGGAATTTTCTAAGACTCTTCCAATTCAGCCATAACTCAGAGCTTCCTTTCTTTACTCATTCAACATGTGTATTAAGCACATACTCTGCGCACAAGAATGTTATGTTCCAACCCAAGTCCAAATACATGGCAAAGGGCTACTTCCTGGCTTGGGGACTAACATGGAAAATCTTACCAATATATAAACACATGGAATCATATATTCAACCATCACTTTTATCGAAGACAAGACTGTGAGGAATGGAAACTAGATAGAGATTCTTCCTGTAATCATTATGTGCTAGGATTGGTTTAGCTAGGAACAATCAATAAGACATGGTCTGAATTCGGTTGAAAATCAACAGGAGGATGTCATCTAAATTTTTGAAATAGAGCTTACATAGATGACTAATCATACACTGGTGAGTGCTGTAATCCTGGAAGTAGATAATGCCCATTATCAGAAACATGGTTGATTCAGCAGTTTCCACTTCCTCTTCTCACCCTCCCCAGCTCATAGATGCCAATCTCTCAGAAACTTAATCATGAGTATGAATGTGATTCCGCCCTGGACCGATGGCTGGCAGGGAGGATGGGCTAAGTCGAGCGCATCCTCTATGATGTTGTTTCTAGTGAAAAAAGGGACAGTGACTCCTTTTTTGGAATTAATAGCAATTTGGGGAAATACTGGGTTTGCCGCCTTCCCAGTGAAATCTCCATTGCCCGTGATCTTCGCTTCACCTCCCTCGCTACCTGCATTAGCATCACAGGAAAGGAGGGTAGAAATAGAGCCCAGAGCCCATGTGTTTTTAAAAATGTGACTCTAAAGACACTGAGGAAAGACAGAATTCCTGAGGTGTGGTCTTTCTCTGCTTAGGTGGGCTGTCTTCTTCTGTTCTCTGGCTCTGACAGAGCAAGTCTGATTCCTTTGGGGAAGAATTCAGGGACCCTTCCTGGTTGGGCTCCAGTTGAGCTTCGTTATACATTCCCTGCACATCTTGCCGCCCCATCAGACTCTGCCCTTAGAGCTCAGGAGCCCTCAGTGTCACACCTGTGACTTTGTATCATTGGAACCTCCACCTCCCATCCCATCTGTGCATGTTCAAATCCTGAAGAGTTTTCAAGATCCAACCAAAACTCCATCCTTTTCATGAAAACTTCACCTGTCTTCCCCTGGAGGTTCATTTCTCCCTCCTCATAACATTTATTTCCTCTTCTAAGAGTTCTGGCGCTTTCTTTTTTCTTCTTCTTCTCCCCCCACCCTTTGGTACCAGGGATTGAACCCGGGGGGACGCTTTACCACTGAGCCACAACCCTAGCCCTTTTTTATATTTTAATTTTGAGTCAGGGTCTCATTAAGTTGCTTAGGGCTAAGTTGCTGAGGCTGGCCTTGAATTTGTGATCCTTCTGCTTCAGCCTCCCCAGCCGCTGAGACTACAGGTGTGCACCACTATACCCAGTCTAACACTTTTTGCTAGTGCTGTGAGTACCTCTCATGTATCTACCTGCTCCTACCAGACTGGGAGCATCTAAGGATAAAGGCTATTAAAAAGAACTCAACCCATTTCTCATAAAAGATGATATGTGCTTTTGAATTATAAAAGAATAAAGAATGAAAAAGAAAGAACATAGGTTTGGCTGAGAGGGAAGACTCTTTTTTACATCACTCTTTTTTGCATTGAGAGGAATATAAAAAGAAAACTGCTTCAAGTTTGGTGATGTTTATCACAGTTTGGTGAGTATCACACAGGATGCTGCAAACTGTTCAGAGAAATGAGAAACCAAGACTGTGTTTTAGCAAAGGTCCTAGGACAGAAATGTCAGTATATTTATCAAAATTTATGTTAAATTGAACAATTAATGACGCCTTCACTTTTAAACCAGACATTTAAACGTTTTTAAAGCAAAATTTGGGGCTGACAAGCAGGTAATCCAGTCTTACTGAAGAAAATGAGAAAAATCTGGACAAAGAAAAACAAAAGCCAAGAAAATTAAATACCATAGGCCCATCACACAAATATAAGCATTATTAACTCTTTAGACTTTAAATTCCAAGATTTTTAAAAAAATTTTTCCGTACTTGGGGTAGGCACAAAATTACAGATACATTCCCACATATTCATACAATTCTTCATGAACATTTGTACAATTTTGCTTATCTTGCTCTTTAACACTGATGTTATATTTAGACCCCTTCGCTCAGTTTTAGGGCTTAATAATAAATAATCCAGTAAACCCATCATAACTTACTTAATCATTTCCTCATAGAGGAAAATTAGAAATGATGCTGGTTCTTTTTTTTTTTTTTTTTTTGATGATACCTCCATATCTGGCTTGTTTCTGTAGAACTCTTTCCTAGAAGCACTTTTTCTTGGTAAGTGGGCATAAATATTTTTAGGCTTCTGACATACTGACACCCACACCTAAAGGAACTTCATAATTCACAACTAGAGTTTGTGACAGAGTCCCTAGTCATTCTATGACTGTTCAATAAATGGACAAATGAAACGTGACACCACACTTTCCATTCCACAAGCCGGGGATTCCTTAATTCAGGTCCAGGATTTGGGGGGTGGGGTGTTGCTGCCATCCACATGTCAACCCCATATGGTTACAGAGACTGAGAAAGCACTTAGTTTTAGTTCTATAGAAAGGAACAGCACTGGAGGGGTCATCTATAATAAGTTCTTATGAGAAGGGACCAGCTAACAGCAGCTCTGGGCAGACGCACACCGGTCTCCTCCTTCTCACCATCTCCCTAAAAACAACCAGAGCAGGTCATGAGCCTAGAGCTGGGACCTACAGCTCAGAGATGCTATTCTTAGATATCCTGAGTTCCTGTGGTCACCAAGGACCCCAAGTTGTGTAACATCATGACAACATTGCTATGCTTAAAAATTTCCCCATGCACCCCCAGATTCCACTTCCCCACCCGCCAGGGCTGCCTATAAAGAGAAGGGCAGATGGCTTCACATGCCAGAAGGACACAGGCAGCAGGGAGGACCCAGGCCCTTCTTGGATCTGCTCATACTTGAGACCACACTCCATCATCCACTGAACATCATGCAGGTCTCCACGGCTGCTCTTGCTGTCCTCCTCTGCACCATGGCTCTCTGCGACCAGGTCTTCTCTGCACCATGTGAGTCCACCCTATTGTGGCGGGTGTCCCCACTCTCTGGCCCTGGGGAGACCACATCAATCTCTTCTTGTGGTCTCCAGAACCCAGGAGAAAAGAGAAAACTTCTTAAAGGGCTACAAAGCACCTTGAGCTTTCTCTTAAGGACTTTTCACCTTTACAAGGGATCTTAGCTCTCCTAGTCCCCAGTCCTGAGAGTCAGGGTTGGGGCAGGATAAAATGGAGCCCTAAACCACTGAGTTTGCAAGAGGCAGAATCCAGACCTGGGTACTTCCTTCCCAGTGATGTGGTCGATTCCCCAGCTCACTCCAGGCTTCCCCAGGAGCTCTGCCCACTGGATCTTAAGATAGATGTCCCAGACCTCTCTTTTTGCTGAGGTGTGACATCTTGAACCAAACAGAATTCCCTGAAGGAAGAGAGGAGAATAGTCTGCTTGGTTTTCTGAATCACACAAAGAAGAATCAGAAAGCAAGGAGAACAGAGACAGTAGGAAGACAGCGACATGAGGTTTCTAGGCAGAAATGCCCAAATGCCTTCCCGAGGCCTGGTCTCCAGTCCCGACCCTGCGTAGGGCTCTTCCTCAGCCTCTGAGGATGTGGCAGCTGGTGGCCTTTCCTTCTGGATGATGATCTGGACTCATTCTGTCCCTTTCTCCAAAGTGGGTGCGGACTCCCCGAAGGCCTGCTGCTTCTCCTACGTGGCCCGGGAGAGTCAACGCAAATTCATAGAGGACTATTTAGAGACCAGTAGCCAGTGCTCCCAGCCAGGTGTCATGTAAGTGTCCTTCTCCTGCCCACCCTTGAGGACCGCCCCACACAGGCAGAGACAGGCCAGGAGAGCAACCCTAGACAGGCCCAGTCTTGTGGGGCCTGTCCCGTATATAGGATTCAGCTCTTAAATGTGACCTGACTTGGTGGAGAAGGTGGGACCCCCAACTCAGAGAGAAGGGACAAGAAGAAGGAGGTGGCAGGGTACCCTGAGATACTCTTGAGTTGGTGGAGAGACCCTCTGGAGTAACATAGGCAGACCTTCTCTGAGCTGCCCAGGGCATCGGGTGAGATGGAGGGACCACCGTGGGCCCCAGATCCCCTGTAGGATTCCTCAGTGTTTGATCCTCTGCTTCTCCCCACAGCTTCCTAACCAAGAGAGGCCGGCAGGTGTGTGCTGACCCCAATGAGAACTAGGTCCAGGAATACGTCACTGACCTGGAGCTGAATGCCTGAGTGGATGAAGGAATCCAGTGTCCTCCGTGGGCCCTGTGGGGAACAGGGGCCTGAGTCTTGGAAGCATTCCTGTGACTCCATAGCTACCTCTCCTATGGCTGGTTGTTGCTGAACAGCCTCACTCTGAACTTCGATTTTATTTATTTATATTATTTAATTTTTATAATTTATTTTTATTTTCATTTCTTTTTGTGACTGTTCCAAAAGATCCCAGGACAAATTCTTTGCCACTCATGCCCTCCCTCTTTGCTCACACTGTTTGGTGACATTTGAGTGGCTGTCATGGGCTTGTTCTAGTCAGACATGGTATCAAAGCCACCAAACTGAGAGATATGGAGTGAGTCCTTTTGTACTGACCGACACATAGAGGCTCCTTTGGCTCTGAGCTGTGTCCAGCCTGTGAAATAATAAAGATGCATTTTTAAAAAGAAAACTGGTGTGGAGTTTGCTTTTGTTTGTTCATAAGATCAGAATCACCTGTTAAGAGGAATAAAGGCAAATAATAGGAAGATGTGACATGAGGGACTTGGGGGAGAAGAACAGAGCTACTGCAGTTACTCCACGAGAAATGCAGTTCTGGAATATTCCAAGCTACAAACATTTTATGATTCTTAATGTACCTGGTCTAGGAAAATTCCCTTCTTGAATGGGTACCATAAGCAAAAACAAACTAATGGTTTTAGTGCCAAAGTGAAAGTACAAATAACCGGTATGGGAGCCGACTTCATGGACCAGCTATGCCTTTTAGTTAGTAGAATAGTCAGGCATCAGAGGGCTCACGCTCTGGATGGAAAATGGCCCTGATCACCGGGGAGGTATGGGTTTATTTTTTTATTGATTTTATTTTTTTAAATACACAACAGTGGAATGCATTACATTTCTTATTACACATATAGAGCACAATTTTTCATATCTTAGTATATAAAGTATGTTCTCGCCTATTCATGTCTTTATACATGTACTTTGGGTTTTTTTGAATTACAATTTTTATTATACATATATACCACAATTTTCATATCTATGTATATAAAGTATGTTGACACCCAATTCGTCTCTTCATACATGTACTTTGGATAATGATGTCCATCATATTCTACCGTCTTGCTAATCCCCTGCCTCCTCCCTTTCCCTCCCACCCTTCTTCCCTATCTAGAGTCCATCTATACCTCCCATGTTCTACCTCCCTACCCCACTATGAGTCAGCTTCCTTATATCAGAAAAAATATTCAGCTTTTGTTTTTTGGGGGATTGGCTTACTTCACTTAGCATTATCTTCTCCAAAGTCATCCATTTACCTGCAAATGCCATGATTTTATTCTCTTTTAGTCCTGAGTAATATTCCCTTGTGTATATATACCACATTACTTTTATCCATTCATCCACTGAAGGGCATCTAGGTTGGGTCCACAGTTTAGCTATTGTCAGAACCCGATGACAATCTGTAATTCCTGTTACAGCAGAGATGCTTAAGAAGACTCATGCACACACACACATCCAGTAGAAAATGAGCACCGTCTTTACTTTTTTCTCTCCTTCTTTTATACAGCATTGTTAATTAAAACAAGGGAAAAGAAAAAACCTCCTTTCGGCAGCTTAATCCTTACAAGCATGAATAAACATTCTCAGGAAAACTTTGTTTATGGTCACAGTGCTCCGTATTTCTTATCAATTAACTTGTGGTTAGTTATTCCCAGCAAACACACACACACACACACACACACACACACATACACACACACACATATATTACACTTGGCAGAACATTCTTTTATCTTCTTAAGACAGCAACAAGGACACAGTTCAAAGAGTTCATACTTTCTCACAGAACTCCTTATTTTGTTAAGCACAGCAAAACTTAACTGTTTGTATGCGTGAGCACACAGTTCCCCCTTAAATAACAATGACGGCGATTGCGCCTGTCTTAGGTTGTGAACCATACTGCAACATTCTTACCCATCATGGAGGACTTCCATTGATGGAAAATGAAAGCCTCTGTCTTAGGTTGGTATGCACAGTGATTCATCTTACAGGTACGAGATAAGAGACAAGTAATCATACAACGACCAATGACACAAACAAGTATAGACATGCCAAGTATCAAAATCACACATATCATTAATTCTTTTAACCAGGAAATATTAGGAAGTCAAGATGTTAACCATGACAATATGTCTTCTTTTTTTTTTAATTTATTTTTTTATTGGTTGTTCAAAACATTACAAAGCTCTTGACATATCATATTGCATACATTTGATTCAAGTGGGTTTTGAACTCCCAATTTTACCCCAAATACAGATTGTAGAATCACGTCGGTTACACATCCACATATTTACATAATGCCCTATTAGTAACTGTTGTATTCTGCTACCTTTCCTATCCTCTACTATCCCCCCTCCCTCCCCTCCCATCTTCTCTCTCTACCCCATCCACTGTAATTCATTTGTCTCCTTGTTTATTTTCCCATTCCCCTCACAACCTCTTATATGTAATTTTGTATAACAATGAGGGTCTCCCTCCATTACCATGCAATTTCCCTTTTCTCTCCCTTTCCCTCCCACCTCATGTATCTGTTCAATGTTAATCTTTTCTTCCTGCTCTTCCTCCCTGCTCTGTTCTTAGTTGCTCTCATTATATCAAAGAAGACATTTGGTATTTGTTTTTTAGGGATTGGCTAGCTTCACTAAGCATAATCTGCTCTAATGCCATCCATTTCCCTGCAAATTCCATGATTTTGTCATTTTTTTAGTGCTGCGTAATACTCCATGGTGTATAAATGCCACATTTTTTTTATCCATTCATCTATTGAAGGGCATCTGGGTTGGTTCCACAGTCTAGCAATTGTGAATTGTGCTGCTATGAACATCGAAGTAGTAGTATCCCTGTAGTACGCTCTTTTAAGGTCTTCAGGGAATAGTCCAAGAAGGGCAATAGCTGGGTCAAATGGTGGTTCCATTCCCAGCTTTCCCAGGAATCTCCATACTGCTTTCCAGATTGGCCGCACCAGTTTGCAGTCCCACCAGCAATGTACAAGAGTACCCTTTTCCCCACATCCTCTCCAGCACTTGTTGTTGTTTGACTTCATAATGGGTGCCAATCTTACTGGAGTGAGATGGTATCTTAGGGTGGTTTTGATTTGCATTTCTCTGACTGCTAGAGATGGTGAGCATTTTTTCATGTACTTGTTGATTGATTGTATGTCCTCCTCTGAGAAGTGTCTGTTCAGGTCTTTGGCCCATTTGTTGATTGGGTTATTTGTTTTCTTATTGTTTAATTTTTTGAGTTCTTTGTGTACTCTGGATATTAGGGCTCTATCTGAAGTGTGAGGAGTAAAAATTTGTTCCCATGATGTAGGCTCCCTATTTACCTCTTTTATTGTTTCTCTTGCTGAGAGAAAACTTTTCAGTTTAAGTAAGTCCCATTTGTTGATTCTTGTTATCAACTTTTGTGCTATGGGTGTCCTATTAAGGAATTTGGAGCCCGACCCTATAATATGTAGATCGGAGCCAACTTTTTCTTCTATCAGACGCAGAGTCTCTGATTTGATATCTAGCTCCTTGATCCACTTTGAGTTAACTTTTGTGCATGGCAAGAGAAAGGGATTCATTTTCATTTTGTTGCATATGGATTTCCAGTTTTCCCAGCACCATTTGTTGAAGATGCTATCCTCCCTCCATTGCATGCTTTTAGCTCCTTTATCAAATATAAGATAGTTGTAGCTTTGTGGATTAGTCTCTGTGTCCTCTATTCTGTACCATTGGTCCACCCTCCTGTTTTGGTACCAGTACCATGCTGTTTTTGTTACTATTGCTCTGTAATATAGTTTTAAATCTGGTATCGCTATACCGCCTGATTCGCACTTCCTGCTTAGAATTGCTTTTGCTATTCTGGGTCTTTTATTTTTCCATATGAATTTCATGATTGCTTTATCCATTTCTACAAGAAATGCCGTTGGGATTTTGATTGGCATTGCATTAAACCTATAGAGAACTTTTGGTAATATAGCCATTTTGATGATGTTAGTTCTGCCTATCCATGAACAGGGTATATTTTTCCATCTTCTAAGATCTTCTTCTACTTCTCTTTTTAGGGTTTTGTAGTTTTCATTGTATAAATCTTTCACCTCTTTTGTTAGGTTGATTCCCAAGTATTTTATTTTTTTTGAGGATATTGTGAATGGAATGTTTTTCCTCATTTCCCTTTCAGAAGTTTTGTCGCTGATATACAGAAATGCCTTTGATTTATGCATGTTGATTTTATATCCTGCCACTTTGCTGAATTCATTTATTAGTTCTAGTAGTTTTTTTGTAGACCCTTTTGGGTCTTCTAGGTATAGAATCATGTCACCTGCAAATAGTGATAATTTAAGTTCTTCCTTTCCTATTTTTATGCCTTTAATTTCTTTCGTCTGTCTAATTGCTCTGGCCAGTGTTTCGAGAACTATATTGAATAGAAGTGGTGATAGAGGGCATCCCTGTCTTGTTCCAGATTTTAGGGGGAATGCCTTCAGTTTTTCTCCATTCAGAATGATGCTAGCCTGAGGCTTAGCATAGATAGCTTTTACAATGTCGAGGTAAGTTCCTGTTATCCCTAGTTTTTCTAATGTTTTGAACATAAAGGGATGCTGTACTTTGTCGAATGCTTTTTCTGCATCTATCGAGATGATCATATGGTTCTTATCTTTAAGTCTATTGATGTGGTGAATAACATTTATTGATTTCCGTATATTGAACCAGCCTTGCATCCCAGGGATGAATCCTACTTGATCATGGTGCACAATTTTTTTGATGTGACTTTGTATCCGATTCGCCAGAATTTTATTGAGGATTTTTGCATCTAGGTTCATCAGAGATATTGGTCTGTAGTTTTCTTTCTTTGAAGTGTCTTTGTCTGGTTTAGGAATCAGGGTGATGTTGGCCTCGTAGAATGAATTTGGAAGAGCTCCTTCTTTTTCTATTTCCTGAAATAGCTTGAAAAGTATTGGTATTAATTCTTCCTTAAAGGTTTTGTAAAACTCTGCTGTATACCCATCCGGTCCTGGGCTTTTCTTGGTTGGAAGTCTTTTGATTGCTTCTTCTATTTCGTCTATTGTTATTGGTCTGTTTAAGTTGTGAGTATCCTCCTGACTCAGTCTGGGCAAATCATATGACTTAAGGAATTTATCGATGTCTTCACTATCTTCTATTTTATTGGAATATAGGTTTTCAAAATAATTTCTAATTGTCTTCTGTATTTCTGTAGTGTCTGTTGTGATATTGCTTTTTTCATCCCGTATGTTAGTAATTTGAGTTCTCTCTCTTCTTCTCTTCGTTAGCATGGCTAAGGGTCTGTCGATCTTATTTATTTTTTCAAAGAACCAACTTTTAGTTTTGTTA